AACACACCTACTTACATACATACATGTATATAAACACACACATATACATCTACACACACACATATGGATGTGTGGATTACACCTCAATAAAGAAAACAAAAATCCTCACAACTGGACCAATAAGCAACATCATGCTATACGGAGAAGAGATTGAAGTTGTCAAGCATTTCATTTTACTTGGATCCACAATCAACATCCATGGAAGCAGCTGTCAAGAAATCAAAAGATGTATTTACATTGGGCAGATCTTCTGCAAAAGACCTCTTTAAAGTGTTGAAAAGCAAAGATGTCACTTTGAGGACTAAGGTGCACCTCACCTAAGCCATGGTCTTTTCAATTGCCTCATATACATGCAAAAGCTAGATATCAATAAGGAAGACCAAAGAAGAATTTATGCCTTTCAGTTATGGTGTTGGTGAAGAATGTTGAATATACAGTGGACTGCCAGAAGAATGAACAAATCTGTGTTGGAAGAAGTACAGCCAGAATGCTCCTTAGAAGCAAGGATGGCTAGACTTCATCTCACGTACTTTGGACATGTTATCAGGAGAGACCAGTCCCTGAAGAAGGACATCATGCCTGGTAAAGTAGAGGGTCAGCAAAAAAGAGGAAGACCCTCAACAAGATGGATTGACACAGTGGCTGCAATAACACAGCAAGGATCATGAGGATGGCGCAGGACCGGGCAGTGTTTCATTCTGTTGTACGTAGGGTCGCTATGAGTTGGAACTGGCTCAACCACCACCTAACAACAACAACACACACATACATAGCTTCAAATTGAAATATAATATGCATAAAGAAAAGTGCCCAAATCTAAGTGTACAGCTCAAATTTTTGCTAAGTGTACACACCCAGGTAACCATCATCCCTCCAGATCAGAAGTGGAACATCACTGACCTCCCAGAAACCTTCCTTGTGCCCCTCTCTCATCCCTACCCTCCCTCATCCCCCAGGAAACTTCCATCCTTCTTTCTAACAGCATAGTTTAGTTTCAACTGCTCTATGTACTCTGGTATAAGTGGATTTGTGTGGCACGCTGTCTTTCGTGTCTGGCTTCTTTTGCTCAATATTAGGTTGGTGAGACTTGTCGTTCCAACTCATTGCTGCAGATCAGGGGTCTGCAAATTTTTTTCTGTAAAAGACCAGATACTATATGGATTTGGCTTTGCGGGCCCAAGGGTCTTTATCACAACTCCTCAACTCTGCCACTAAAATGCAAAAGCAACCGCAGACAATACGTAAACGAATGGCCGTGACTGTGTTCCAAGAAAACTTTGTTTATGGTCAGTGGACTTGGAATCTCGTATCCTTTTCATGGGTCACTACATATTACTTGGATGTTTCTCAAACATTAAAAAAGGTAAAAACTATTGTCAACTGGTGGACCGTAGACTTGGTCTGTGATTGTAGTTTGCCAACCCTTGCTGTTGAGTTTTCCATTGAAGCAATAAACTACAATTTTATTGATCCATTTATCCATTGTAGATAAGCAACTGGGTATGAGCAAGGTACGCAATTTTCGCATAGGGATGTTATTTTTGTCACGGGTGCAGCTCCCACCCCTGCATAGGGACCTCTGTTCTCTACCTGCCTCTGGGATTATCCCCCAGGCACTTCCTTCTGGACTTGTCCCAGCCCAGATGTGCAAAGGGAGGGCTCTCCTTTCAAAGAGGGAGGCTGCGGCTGAAAGGGGGGTAGAACTTCCTGCCCCTGGGCCACTTGAGTCAGCCGTAGAGGCTTCTTCTTGGCCCCAGATGTGGGAAGGGAGGGCCAGGGGGCTGAGGAACTTATTAGCCAAGACAGGAAGCCTGACACCAGAAGCCTTAAAAGAGGAGGCCATGTGTGGCAAGGCTTAGGAATCTGTGTCCCAAATTTGGTCTGCTGAGTCCACAGAGAAGGGTAAGTGACAGCAGCCCCTGCCCACAGCCCCAGTGCAGGCTTGGGGACAAAGCTGGACCTTCATCCTTGGTGCCCAATAGGGACCCAGAGGTCCAGACCCCACACCTTCTGTGGGCTTGAGGGTCCGCAGAACAGGAAGGGGCTGATGTGGTAATGGGTCTCTTGGCTCCCCCCTCCCGCCACACAGCACCTGCAGGATGAAGGCTGTCTCCCTCTTCCTCCTCCTCCCTGTCCTGGAGCTGCTGGTGTCCGGCGAGTCCTTGTGTCCCGTGGATGCAGCCATCAATCAGAAGATCCAGAAAGGCACCATCTCCCTAAGTGAGGACCCCACACCCCCCTCGCTGACTGCCTCGGAGGCCCCTCTGATCCCTGATGCAGACCTGATGTCAATCCCAGTCAAACCTCAGACCCAACCACAACCAAACCCTAACCTCAAACCCAATCCTAACCAAATCCCAACCTCAAGCCCAACCCAGTCCCAACCCCAACCAAACCTCTACCTCAAACCCAGCCACAACTTCAGCCCCAACCCAGTCCCAACCCCAACCAAACCTCAACCTCAAACCCACCATAACTTCAACCCCAACTCAGTCCCAAACCCAACCAAACCTTAACCTCAACCCAAACACAACTTCAGCCCCAACCCAGTCCCAACCCCAACCAAACCTCAACCTCAAGCCTAAACCCATCTAAACCTAAACCCAAGCGTAACCAAATCCCAACCTCATGCCCAACCCAACGACAACTTCAACACCAATCCTACTCCCATCTTCAAACCCAACCCAGCCCCAATTTCAATGCCAACTCCAATTGCACACCAACTCAAAACTCAAACCCAAACCCAATCCAAATCAGTTAACCAGTTACTATTGAATCGATTCCGACACACGATGACCTTGTGTGTGTCAAAGTAGAAGTGTGTTCCATAGGGTTTTCAGTGGGTGATTTTTCAGAAGTAGATCACTAGGCCTTTCTTCTGAGGCAGCTCTGAGTGGCCTTGAACCTCCAGCCTTTCAGTTAGCAGCGGAGCGTGTTAATCATTTGTACCACCCAGGGACTTCTCAATCCAGCCCAGTCCTACTTGTAACCACAGCTCCAAACCAAACCCCAACTTCTACCCAAACCAATTTCAACCCCAGCTATTGCCCCAAACCCTCCCTTACTCTAAATGCAAGTGAAGACAGAGGATTCTGGGAGGTGGTGGGCTCCCCATCATCTGGGCTCTCCACTAGGGCCTGGACCACCTGGGCCTTCCACAGGGGAGTTTTCCTGATCCTCTGCCTAGTTCCAAACCACCAGGGCCAGTCACCATGAGGACAAGAGAGGGGCAGCTTGGTCTCAAAGCCCCTCCCTTTCTCCCTCCTGCAGTTCTTGAGGCTCTGAGGAGAATCCACCTGGACTGCCGAAGCGTTACCTCCAGTGGGGACTTGGTCACCTGCCCATCAGGTGAGTGCAGAATGCTGGTGCCCAGGCTCTCAGCTCCCTTTCCAAGCCTCTTGGGGCACTCCTCCACCCAGTGACCAGACTGTATCTCTCTAAGACCCATGGAGCGCCAGCCTCTACTTCCCTAGGGTTCTTGTGTCTAAACTCCCAGCCTTCTCCCCCCACCCCAGCCCTAGGACCCCATTTCCTTAGGTCACTGGTGTTCAGGCCTCCAGCGGCCAGCCTCCCCCCACCCCCCACATCCGCCCCCCCTGGCGTCGGAGTCTCCAGCTACTTGGACCCTGATCCCCACCCGCTCCAGCTCCGGGTCCAAGACCCCTACCCGGTTCCCACCTGCAGGTTTCGCTGTCACTAGCTGCACATGTGGCTCCGCCTGCGGCTCTTGGGACGTGCGTGCAGAGACCACGTGTCACTGCCAATGCGCTAACATAGACTGGACCGGAGCGCGCTGCTGCCGCATACAGGCCTCAATCTGAGGGCGCGCGTGCGGATCGCGGGCCGGGAACAGGGCCAGGCCTTGGAGGGGTGGGGCTGGAAATAAACCACATGCTGATGGAGCCAGTGTGAGAGATTCTCGGTTTCTTTTGTGGGGTTGAGGGGAGGGGACTGATCTGGTGTCACCTGGAAGATGCTGAAGGGTGGGGGCCACTTTCTTCTGCAGCAGCCTCCTTCCTCCCACGCTGTCTCTCACCCCGACTTCCTATAATGACTCCACCACCCATGGCTCGTGCCACCTTCAGGAGCGGAAGTGGGTCTTACCTTTGATGCCACCTTGATGGTCACCATTGGATCTCAGGCCTCCCAGGAAGTCGTTGGGTCATTCTCTCCCACTCCCACAATGATGTTTCATCTAGGGTCTGTGTCAGTCCAGGTAGAGCACTAGACAGGGGCCCCCTTCTTACACTGGGCCTCAAGCTTCAGCAGCCCCAAGGTTGGGATGGGGCTCCGAATTATCCCCCAGCACCCAGCTCTGAGCCCCTACCCCTCATCCCCCACCCGCATCAGGGACTCTTAAGGAGCAGGCAGAGCAGCAGGAAACGCCTATAACATCCCCTGCATCCCTGGGGATACAAATCCACGTGATTCAAGTTCTGATCCTGGGGAATCTTGACCCAGGGATTTTAAAATCTAACCCCTGAGAGATGCAGACACTGACTTCAGAACCCCTTAGTTTCCGTTTTTGAAAGGGACCACAAACTCAAACGTCACAGCTCAAATGTCACAGGAGCTGGAGAGTGGGTTATAGGGTGGGACCCTGTTCAGGTTGTCTTGGATCCGCCTCCCACGGATGCCCACCCTCTATGATGGTCCAGGCACCTGTCTGATCCTGGTGACCATGCAACAGTGTTTTCTCCCACTCCTGGTGCCCGTGGAGCCCACTCAGACCCCAACCAGGAATTCCTCTCCCAGGTCCTCCCTCCTAGCCACACTGCGGGCCACAGGGCAGAATGAATTACAAGTGTGGCCAGGACCAGAGAGGGTGGGTCAGGGTCTTGCTGACCCCTCTCTTGCTTACTAGGGAAGGGGGCACTCCCTTGTCCCCAGACCCTGGTGTGAATGTCCTTTGTCTCCAAGCCCCACCCAATTGTCCCTCTGTATCTCCCCAAGAAGGCCTTCTCAGAGTCCTCAATTCCAACATGATCATCCTCCTGTCCCAGAATGCAGACTTGGAGGTCACACTTTACTGTTTAGGTGACCTTGGACAAGAAAGCCTCCTTCTCAAGTTTTTGTTTTCTCATTTGCCAACTGCCCAACTACCTTTGGAGGCCAAGATTCTTCTGGTTGCAATTGCTGGAGACCCCATGTCTTAGTTATCTAGTGTTGCTGTAACAGAAATACCACAAGTGGATGGCTTTAATTAGCAGAAATTTATTCTCTCATAGTTTAGGAGGCCAGAAGTCTAAATTCAGGGTGCCAGCTCCAGGGGAAGGCTTTCTGTCTCTGTTGGCTCTGGAAGAAGGTCTTTGTCATCAATCTTCCCCTGGGCCTACGAGTTTTCTCAGTGCAGGGACCCCGGGTCCAAAGGATGTGCTCAGCTCCCAGCTCTGCTTTCTTGGTGGTAGGAGGTCCCTCTCCTGTCTGCTTGCTTCTCTCTTTTATATCTCAAAAGAGATTGACTCAAGATGCAACTTTATCCTATAGATTGTGTCCTGCCTCATTAACCTAACTGCCTCCAATCCTGCCTCATTAACATCAGAGAGGTTACGATTTACAACACATAGGATAATTACAACACACGGGGTAATTTACAACACAAAGGATAATTACATCAGATTACAAAATAGAGAAAAACCACATCATACTGGGAATCATGGTCTAGCCAAGTTGACAAACATTTTGGCGGGACACAATTCAATCCATAACACTCCACTTCAAACTGGCATAAGCAAAAATATAAGGAAGTTCCCGGCGTGTGTAACTGAGAGGCCCAGGGTTAGAACAACAAGTTCAGCTATGGCTGAAGCCAGAGTTTCAAATGATGTCTCCAGGACTTAAATTCCTCAACTTCTGTAAAAATGGCTTGGGGCAGTGTCTGACCTCCTCTAACTTTACAAGGGGGAAGGAGAATCAAGATCAACAGCCCAAGGCTGATTTGTATGACACAGAGGTCAGACACGCCTCCTCTCTCCACTATCTTTACCAATTCTGACACCAGCTGTCCCTCCCGTGACACTCTCTACTTTTCTACTGGGCTCGATAATTCATTGTAATAGCCACACAGAACTCACAGACAATATTCACGATTATGGGATTTATTAGGGAAGTAGCAGGTTACAATTCAGGCTCAGGAACACTTAGGATACAGTTCTTCCATCAGGTCACGCCTCTCCCTGGCCCTCAGCCTCTCTCTGCCCAAAGGCACTCAGCTTTCTCTCTCTGTAGGCCAGAAAACCCACCATGCTGTCTCCTGCTGCTTGGTCTCTGCTGCTGAGTTTCTGCTGCCGGGTCACTCCTGCCACCACTTCTCACCATCTTCAGGGTTACAGCTTACTTTCTGTCTCCTGGGTCCAGGAGCTTCTCAGCGCAGAGATCCCGGGTCCAAAGGACATGCTGGCTCCTGGCTGTTCTTCCTTGGTAGTGGTGGATCTTCCTTCTCCCGCCTCTAGGATGTCTCACTTCAAGCCCAGGGGGATGGCAAAGCTGACAAATCCCTTTGGTGGTCCACAATTCCCCATCTGCACAGTCCTGACCAATCACCTGGGTGGGAGTTACAAGACCTTGGCTAGAAAAGCCACACAAAAGCAATCCGTCACACCATAGCTTTGCTTTCCTCAGTGCTGAATTCACTCCAGGCTTATATCCTTCCAGTATGGTAGCCCCAGGGGAGGGAAAGAGAGAGAGAATGCCTCTTTTCCTGGTTAACCCAACAAAAGTCCCAGACTTGTCTTTCATTGGTCAGACCTGGCTCAAATTCCCTCCCCTATGCCAATTCTGGAAACCCTGGTGACATAGTGGTTCAGAATTTGGCTGCTAACAAAATGGCTGGCAGTTCTAATCCACCAGGTGCTCCTTGGAAACCCTATGGAGCAGTTCTACTCTGTCCTATGGGGTCGATATGAGTCAGAAGCAACTCAACGCCAAAGGGTTTTTTTTTTTTTTTGGTGCCAATTCTTAGACTCTCATTGGATGGGCCTGGATCATGTGCCTACTCTAAACCAATCCCTTGTTTCTGTTAGTGTAAAGGAACTCAACTGATTTTTGGGTATTGATCTTGTACCCTGCCACTTTGCCGAATCCTTCTATTAGTTCCAGTAACTTTCTTGCGGAGCTTCTGGGATTTTCTATGTATAGGATCATGTCATCTGTGAATAAGGATAGTTTTACTTCTTCCTTTCTAATTTGGATACCCTTTATTTCCCTTTCTTGACTTATTGCTGTAGCTAGAACTTCCAGTACAGTATCAAATAAAAATAAGAAAGGTCTCATTCTGGTTCTCAAGTGGAATGCTCTCAGTCTTTCTCTGTTGACAATCCCTTGTTTCTGATTGGACACATTTCCTTTCCCAAAAGAAAACCAAGAATGTTTCGCCATGAAAAGGGATGCTGGCCAGACTGTCCCCACGGATGTTTCCCATGGAGCTCTCTCTGGCCACCATGATGTGGCTTCTTGAAGGCCTCAAATTTCCTGGTTGCCTTTTTTTTTTTAATTAATATTTTATTGTATTTTTAGTGAAAGTATACACAGCAAAACAGATTCTCATTCAACAATTTCTACACATAATGTTTAGTGACACATTCTTCACATTGTGCCAACATTCTCAGTATTTCCATTCTAGTTGTTCCTTTCCATTAACCTAGTCTCATGTCCCCTCCGCTCCCCTTCTCATCCATGCTTTAGAGTAACTGTTGTCCGTTTGGTCTCACATACATAATTTTTTAAAAGAGCACAGTACTCAAGGGGGATGTTCTTTACTCTTTGAGCTAACGAGCGATTTAGTCAAAAGGTGGCTTCAGGGGATAGTTTCCGTTCAAGGTTTAAAGAGTATCTCAGGGCAATAGTCTCAGGATTCCTCTAGACTCAATGGGTCCAATACGTCTGGATTCTTTGATGATTTGAAGTTTTGTTCCACATTTTTCTCCCTTTCTATCAGAATCCGTCTATTGTGACCCTGATCTCCCAGTTGCCTTTTGCTCAAAGGAAATCCTGAGGGTTGGGACCACATCTTTCCCCCATTCCGGCAAGGAAATGTGCGATAATGAGGCCCCACCCCCTGCTTCTGTCTATCACAGCAGAGCCAACTCCCAATTGGTCCGTCTCCTCACCTCTCCCAGGCTGTTACATCAGAAAGAGGTGGCATCTCTCGGTGGCTGACTTCTTCCTAAGGCCGGACTGAGGAGCTGGCATCTAACCACTATATGTTTATCTTTCTTGAAGAGACAGGGTTTGGTAATACTTTAGGAAGTAGAGCATTATAGTTACCGGATCTTGGGAATCATTCCAAGTTATCTCAAATTTCACTACACATTTAAAACCAAAACATACTCATTTCCTGCTCATAGTTACAAAGTCTTTTACTCATCATTTTTTCTAAAGGGAGGAAATTATAACGCTCTAGATCTGCACTGTCCAATATGGCAGCCACTGAGCACCTGAAATGTGGCTACTCTGAACAGATGCACCATAGTGTAAAATTCATATCTTATTTCAAAGACTGAGCACAAAAAGACATTGCTGATGTCAGATGGATCTTGGTTGAAAGCAGAGAATACCAGAAAGTGTATCTGTGTTTTATTGACTATGCAAAGGCATTCAACTGTGTGGATCATAACAAATGATGGATAACATTGCAAAGAATGGGAATTCCAGAACACTTAATTGTGCTCATGAGGAACCTGTACATAGACCAAGAGAACAGAACAAAAGGATTCTGCATGATTTAAAATCAGGCAAGGTGTGCATCAGGGTTGTATCCTTTCACCATACTTATTCAATCTGTATGCTGAGCAAATAATCCGAGAAGCTGGACTATTTGAAGAACAACACAGCATCAGGATTGGAGGAAGACTCATTAACAACCTGCGATATGCAGATTACACAAGTTTACTTGCTGAAAGTGAAGAGGACT